AGATGTTTTTCCAGCGTTTGCTCTCCTTATCGCCTGGAGCAAAACGCCTGGGCGCCATCTTCCGTTCTCGCACATGCGCAAGGTGTAGATATTTCAGGCAGGAATGTGTGAGAATAACTCCATTTTGCAGTAAGTAAAAGAATAACATGGAAAATACAGAATTCAAAGGGTAGGCATTCAAAAGATTAAATGGGAAATGGTGCAACACACCAGAAGTACATCATTCCTTTTATTCAAAACCTCTATCAAACAATTAAAATCTAGAGCCTCTGGTGGATGCTTCTTGTCTTCAGTTATGCAACCTGAAAAAGAAATTGTGAAATGATTCTTGAGATGTTGAGTCACAAATATGTTGTTTGTTTCACCAAATTAGTTCTCCTTGAATGAAATGCCATTAATAACAGTAGTACAAATGTGCTACTGTTTTCCAAAAGTTCTGTATCCAGACAATGCTTTTGATTGTTTGCATATTATTAAGGAGCATACAATAAAAATGGACTACAATTCCAGAATATTTGGGACCAATAAAAGGAAGTGTTTCTTTTCAAAGCAGGTAATTACATTATGGAATTTGCTTCTACGAGATGTCAAGGTTACCAATGTAGGTCCCCATTCTATAAGAATCTGAGATTTCACTTCATCAGTTCAGTTCTGGGCATTCTTCTTTGATGTCTTTGATAATCCTAGCTGTTTCCAGAAACGCATATGAGGTCCCAGAGCAAACTTCTGGGAAAGGCAAATGCAGCAAAGTCAAATCGAAAAAAATGGCAAAGCCTTTTCTTCTGCACAAGGGATAATTCACCGAACATCTCTTCTTCTAGCCAGTTATATGTCTGCTGGATCTTGGAGTCCGTGAACTCGGGCATCTGGATGTTATCAGGAAATCCATTCCGGAGCATCAAATGGTGCACTTCATTGCCAAGAAACCCAAACATTATTATATAGTCATATTGAACAAGACATGGATGACACAGCTTAACTAAGGGTGTCCATTCAACACTGGCATTCTTCAATCCACTGTACATGATGTAGTCAATGAACTCTTTGAAGGTTAGATTGTCTGCTATCCAATGCATGTAAGCAGAAACGAGTCTGTGGAAAGGATCCCTAATGAAAACCACTTTTGTGTAGGCTTTAAGCAGAGCTTCCATTGATGTCAAGTTATGTTTACTCAAGGCCATTTTATCACCAAAGTCCTGGTGATAGGGGACAGGCACTTGCAATGTGACATTTGTGTTCTCCAATATTACTTCCAATAGCTGCTCCCACTCTTCCACCCCGGTGCCTGGTATTTTGCAATACAGGAAATTCAGTTTGTGATTCACTGCAATAGAAGAGAGTAGTTGGGAAGCTTCCTTTTGGGTAGCTGGAAGTTTAGTGAGTTTGCTCTTTTTCTTGCAAAAAGACCGCAATGTCTTTTTTCTGACCTGCTGAATATGTAGAAGAGAATCAAATGTGAGGGGTACATCAATCTCCTCTTCGATGGTCAAATGGTCTGTAAACATAGGATGGTAAAAGCTATTCAAGGATGTGAATCATCAACTGCTTGATAACATTTGTCCCTTTAGTTCTAAATAGCCGATAACCCGGCATTGCCTNAGAGAGTGTGGCAGGCCAAACATCCTAAAAGGAATATAACTGCAGGCCTGGCAGATGTTCCTTTTTACCTGCAGCTGCAATTCACCACAATTAGGCATTTTGCATCATAGAAACAACACTATTCCTGAGGCATTTGATGTTACTGTGATGATCACCTCTGAAGCATCCAGGGCCTGAGTTCATGACAAAAACTCTTCTCATCATTGAAAATTTTGGATGAAGTTGTTGGAATGACGTGAAGGAAAATAATGGAGATGTATCATTTCAATCTTAATAAGTGGTTTGTGTAACTTCATGAGGCATATCTAATATCTTGTTGAAGAAAAAGATCATCCTGAAACCCTACTTTTTGGTTTTTTATTCACTTGATTCATTGGAGAAACCCATTCCTTAGCTGATCTCTAGTTTCAGAGAGAAATTGTTTTTTTAATCACTGGCCTCTTTTAAAAGCTAACAAAATCTGTGATATAAAATGTGCCCATAAAATGTGATGTTAAACAAGAATTCAAATTCACTGTATCTGCTCCGTGGTATTTGAAAAAGAAGGGATAGATATCAATAACATCTTGTTATTAATGATTCTTCATAAGAAAGCTACTTTTCCAGGAAGCATGCAGATTAATTTTACCTGCATAAGTTACAGACATTTCTAAATGATCTTACTCTTTTATGATCAATCTGGATGTCTGCGCTAAATGTAACATTTTGAAAAATAAGCATGTATTTAAATGCTTTTGTTGTTTTTACATAATGTTATGATGACTCAGGAGACACACAACTTCTCTCCCTCCTGGATGTTTGCCAGGAACAACTATGCTTTGAACAGAAGAAGGTTTTCTCCTTTTCTCCATTTGGCCGCCAAATGCAGCACATTAGTCCCTCCCCATGGCCATCATCAAAGATGAACATCATTCTCATTTATGGGAGAAGATACTTCACAAAATGTATGTGGGGGAAGCTAGATTTGCCTAGATTACAGTCACTGGGAATCAAATGTTGTATTCTCTACACAATTCAAATCTGGATTTTATTTCTTAGATGTGGCCAAAATGTATAAATCAATATGGACCATTAATTTTATACAGAATAGAATACAGAATAAGAGAGGTAGAAGAGACCTTGGAGATCTTCCAATCACCTGCTCAAGGGTCCAATCTCTTCTTAAAAACCAATATACCACCATTGAATCATGCAGCCATACGTGGGTAATTTCCATGAACTGTAAAGAGCCACAAAGGTCATCAGAGGTGATGATATATTGGTCTATACTGAAAGCTGTTCTGTCACAACAGTTATTTTGATAGCTTCAAAAGTAAAATTCAAAGTGGTTCTGATTTTTATGTCACCTGTAGAGTGTTTAGAGTGTTTAGAGTGT